GTTTATGTTAAGTACACTTCTGGCACAGTGTCAAAAATTTACTCAATGCTAACCGCGTGGTACTGATCCTGCAGCATGAACCCAAGCACCCGAAGGCAATAGACCATAACCATTAGCACCATTGAAACCCCAATGTGGTTTTGGGTCGGAGCTGATCTAAAGAAGAAATCTAACAAAGAAAAATGTAGGCCAGACTTTCTCAAAGCTTACCTCTAAAGTCTGGCAAGATTTTGATCCCAAATCGCAAGCAATGATACGCCCGCTCTCCCATCGAAATCCACAACCGTGTACTCCAAAGCAGACGAGCAAACGCTCACCACTCACAACTGCTGATGTGGCCTGTGCAAGCTGCAAGCAAACCTTTATAAAACGATATAACACTATAAAAAGTTTAAGTTCAAGGAAGATCTTACAGATAATATACCCTCCGCGGGGATATCAAACAGGTGCTCTATGGTGGCGCTATCACCACTGGAAGTCAAGCGTGCTACTCTCATCTGGTGCTCCATAGTTGTTATTATGTACTTTGTGCTTTCGTCTGCACTATCAGCCACCTCCATGGTAACCCTAGCCGACTTCTCCGAACCGGGGATGGGAGCAAAGCTCTAAAATTTTCAAATTCTCATGTCGAGTTTTTACCGCTGAGCTTTATCATACTTGAAGATTAACGGGCTCAAATGAGTTTCCAGTCCATTTGTGAAGTGAAGACATTGCGACTTCACCGAATGCGGTGTAAAGGAGCGTGTGAGCAGCTCCGTTAAGAACAAACATTTTCTCTTCCACATTTTCCTCATTAGAAAGAGCAGGGTACTGAAATTATACAAGCATTAACGTATACCCTTTTTTAAGCAACTTTTGAAAGCAATTTGTTACTAAATCGCCTGCATAGTTCGGCACTAGCCTACAATATTTACACAGAAGTTCATGATTATGTTCACTGATAAAAAGTAATTCCCAAGCAGGATAGCATGAAGTGTGTGTTTGTATAGCGCCTTCACAGAAAAAGTGATTGAAATTAGTTGAGAAGAATGAAAAGCCAAAATTGAATAGCGAATCATATGCACGGTTCAAAGATTCTCCAAGCTGACGAACTGAATTCAGAGGAAGGTAAGCACAAAACGAACTACTCTGTTAGCCCTTTCACTTCCCTCGTCTGGTCGGAAGCGCTTGAGATTGTTCAAATAGATATCACTCGCTTTCAGCGCAATATTTTTGAAATAGCCATCTATAAAAAAATAAGAATACATACATATTAAGTGAATGTTGAAATGATGTGCAAAAACACATCAAATCACTATTGATTTAGCAAAAGATGTTATTGAGCGCACAATGATAACGTTGACCTTCATTTGGAGCGCACCCGTATTGGTTAGGATGGTTTGCATTAATCACATTTTCTTTCTCTTTTTCTTCATAACATGCGCCATCATTCACAAACTATATTGTTCCTTTACCGAAAAATTTGGCTAGAGAAAGGCACCAACATTACCAATCATTGTACTAATTTATCAAAGTTAAGAGCAACTTGGGGGAATCCCAGTTTGCAAAACCCGTTCTCAGTCCTATACTTTCTCACGATCAATCATTATGTTTTTTTCCTAGATGATGCAGATAAACTAACGGTATGAGAGTCTTCCCATTTGTTGTCAGCCGTGTTGAACGCGATTGCGTATGATCCAACGAATCCTACATGATGACCCCAGTTGAATGTTGGCTGGCTGACAACTAAACAACACTTTTCTTTATTGTGATAACTGGTAAAATCAAAAAAGCTCACATTTCTTTCCGAACAACCAGATTTTATCACCAACCAGCAAAGCATGGTTGTAATCACACTGCTCAGCAACAGCGCTCTTGTAGGAGTCTCCTACTTTCTCGAAAGCCATTCTATAAGCAAATGGTTAAAGTAGTGCGCAAATGTTATACAGTTTCTATGGCGACAAGTTAAGTAAGAAGAACTTCTACAGAACTGCCACGAAAGAGCACGACCAAAAGCACTATTTGCAGAGATTCTCAGGAACTGGCATTTAGAATCTGCGATTCACCATATTTATGTATGACTGAAACGTGTGTATTTGGTGTCCTAGTGTTGACACAGACAGCATCGATTTTCTTGACTAATGAAAATGGGTGTAAGTAGCGCTTG